CTGTGAGTCTACAAAGCACAGAGCTCTATGCGGAGGCCCAGCGTATAAAGCAGGAGGGATAGTAGCGTCTCTGGTAAAGAGGGTGGGCGTCTAGCAGAGAGATCCCAGCTGGCCAGGACCTCCTTCGCCTCCCCTTTGTCCAGACCTGCCCCCCTCTGCGCTCCCCAGACTCCAGCCATCCTTGTCCTGGTCCCATCCTTTCACTTTCCTTTTGGCTAAACAGAGAGGACAAGTGCTTCGCCCAAGGCCACCCGGCAGGTTTATGGTCAAACCCAGGGCTCGCACTGGAGTAATATTTCCTAGATCTGAGCCCACGGCTACCCAGACTCCCATGGTTTTTACCAAAAGCATATTCTAACTCTAGTATCATTGACTTAAAATTTTTCTTTAAACCATCTCTTATTTTTCTTATAACTTTAAGTGGAGATCTTATATCGTTACCATAAATGCCAAGCCTTTATCAATTTCCATAAAAGATAACACATGTAATAAATATATATCTTCTTTTAAATTATGCATCCATGTGCCACCTAAAAGTATCTCATGGGTACCCACACCTCCTTTTGGGATTTCCTGCGTGGCACATCTAAAAGGTTCACTTCTGTCCTGCTCAGAACGTGTGAAAATGTTAGTCACGTTCAACTCTTTGTGACCCCATGGACTATAGCCCACCAGGTTCCTCTGTCCATGAAATTTTCCAGGTAAGGATACTGGATTGGGCTGCCATTTCCTTCTACAGGGGGTCTTCCTGACCCAGGGATCAAACCCAGGTCTCTCCTGCATTGCAGGTGAATTCTTTACCATCTGAGCGACCAGGAAAGTCTGTCCTGCTCAGCTTCACCCTCTGCTGAGTGGGTGTGATGTGCTCAGCCCTGTGCTAGGCTCCGGAGGACAGCAGACCTTGCCCTCGGGGTTTTACAATCCAGAGGAGACAGACACGCACCCCGCCCCGAGGGGTGAAAGACAGGCCTGTGGGACGGGAGGGATGGGTGGTCATCTTTCATCTTATGGGTTGACAAGTGGACGCTCAGAAGGTGCAAGGGACACATTCAAGTCCCCTTCAGCATGTCAGTGGCAAAACTGGGGTCGAACCCAGATTTTCTGCACATTTCCCCCCAAGCCAGGGTTTCTGCCTTCTGCCCAGACTCTGCCGCAGCAGACCATGGCCAAGTGTCCCCATGGTGGGCTGAGTGGTTTGGTAGAGACAGACAGGAAACAGAGTGATTCTGAAAGCTTTTTTTACAATCTCCTTTTCCAGCCCTGGGCATGGGGCTGCCCAGCCCTTGTCTGCCCTCTCCTCCCAGTGCCTGGGACCAGCAGTAGTCTTTGCCAGTAACTCTCACAGTCCGTGGCCTGGGTCAGAGAGGCCCTGACTGGCGGCCTCTGCAAACTCACAGTAGGACCCTGGCCATCCTGTCCCAGGACTCTAAGCGCCAGAGCGCGTCGCTCTGGTGGTTCTCGAACTGCGGACCATGGACCAGCAGTGCCAACAGCTCCTGGAAACATGATGGAAATGCAGATTCTCAGGCCCCGCTTCAGGCCTTGTTGTTCATTTCCTAACTGGTGTCGCAGGCCTTGCGCTTCTCTGCCCTCCACTGTCTCCTGGAATCTGCTCGGATTCCATTGAGTCAGTGATGCTATCTAACCGTCTCATTCTCTGCCGCCCTCTTCTCCTTTTGCCTTCAATTTGCCCCACCTGCTGGGTCTTTTCCCATTACTCAGCCCTTCTCATCAGGTGACCAGAGTCCTGGGCCTTCGGCTTCAGCACCAGTCCTTCCAGTGAGTGTCCAGGGTTGACTTCCCTTAGGGCGGACTGGTTGGATCTCCGTGCAGTCTGAGGCACTCTCAGGAGTCTTCTCCAGCACCGCAGTTCGGAAGCATCGACCCTTCAACCCTCACCCTCCTTCGTGGTCCAACTCTCACATCCACACACGACCACTGGAAAACCATAGCTTTGCCTAGACAGACCTTTGTCAACAAAGTGATATCTCTGCTTTTTAATATACTGTCTAGGTTCATTATAGCATCCCTTTCGAGAAGCAAGCATCTTTGAATTTCATGGCTGCAGTCACTGTCCACAGTGATTTTGGAGCCCAAGAAAATAAAATCTGTCATGGCATCCACTTTCTCTTCTTCTATTTACCATGAAATCATGGGAACAGGATGCCATGATCTTCTTTTTTCGAATGTTGAGTTTTAAGCCAGGCTTTTCACTCTCTTTCACCCTCATCAAGAAGCTCTTTAGTTTCTCTTCGCTTTTTGCACTTAAGAGCGGTATCATCTGCATATCTGAGGTTGTTGATGTTTCTCCCTGTAATCTTGATTCCAGCTTGTGCTTCATTTAATCTGACATTTTGCATGATGTGCTCTGCATATAAGTTACATATGCAGAGTGACAGTATACAGCCTTCTTTCCCTATTTTAAACCGGTCAGTTCCATGTGCAGTTCTAACTGTTGCTTCTTGACCTGCATACAGGTTTCTCAGGAGACAGATAGGATGGGCTGGTATTCCCATCTCTTTAAGAATTTTCCAGTTTATTGTGATCCATGCAGTTAAAGGCTTTCATGTAGTCAATGAGGCAGAAGTAGATGTTTTTCTGGAAATTCCTTGCTTTCCCCATGATCTAGTGAATGTTGGCAGATTTCTCTCTGGTCCCTCTGCCTCTTTGAAAGCCAGAATCTGAAACGCTGAGAGGGGGCCAGACAGTCTGCTGTGAGAGCCCTCCAGGCAGCGGCTCTGCTGCCGTCGCTGCCCCTGCGCTCTGGGGACCGCTGTTCCGAGGCTCTCATTCATCCCTGGCCACTGCCCCAGGCGCACTTCCGTCAGGCCAGCCGGGCTCTCCGAGAATGGCACACACAAATCTGTAGCCGTTAAAAAAAAGAAAGTGAAGGTTTAAACAGTACCCGTTGATGATTCTGATGCCCACAGTGGAGAACCCTTTGGGAGCCCAAGAGCACCAGGTTTTAGAGATAGCAGCTGTGCCTCTGAGGCAGACACTTGCACCTATATCTTAGTCCCAAACCCCACGAGAATCCGCTTAAATCCCTCTGAGCCCTCTTGAGCTTCTGGGAACCTTCGGACTGTGGGCTGGAGATTTAGCAAAACTGTCAGCCCTGGGTGCTTTCCTCCTCTGTCTCCCAGTCCTTCCTGTTATCACCCTTTAAGTTGGAGTCTAAATCTTCTTGAGCTGCCGAAACAAAATACCATGGGCTCAGTGGCTTAAAAACAAACTATTTCTCCCAGTCTGAGATCAGAGCATCAGGCTGGTTGCGCTCTGGTGAAGGCTCTCACCCTGGTCCGCAGCCAGGGCCTTCCTCGGTGCCCACGGTGGGGAGACCGCACTCTCTCTGCCTTACGAGGAAACAAACCCTACCGCTTAGACCTTACTCTTGTGACTTCATCTAATGTTCGACGACAGTCACATTGGGGTTCAGGGCTTCAGTGTCTGAATTTGGGAAGACGCAAACGTCTAGTCCACAGCAACCAGCTCAAACCACTTCCTTTCCTGCCCTGAAATCTTGATGGCTTTTCAGGAATTCCAAGGCTATTTCCTATTTAATAGAAAACTCCTCCAGAACCCCAAGGAATGACTCTCAAAGAGGAGAATTCCAAGCCAAAAAAAAAAGAAAGCTGCAGCGGAAAGGAGGTGTCTTTGTGAAGAGCCTGCCCTCCCCTGCCCGTCAAGCTCCTAGTTCACGGCTCCGTCTGTGTGCAAACCCAGCACCTGGATGCCTGCCTCCTCGCTGGCAGCCAAGCTCCCCTGGTCTTCAGCTCAGACACCGAACAGGGCTTGGGAGACAGAGTTCTAGGCCCAGCGCTGTCTTTGCTGCAAACTCAGTCCTCTGTCTGAGCCTCAGACCCCCACCCTTACAGTAGCAGGTGTCTTCCAAGCTGGTTGCCCACCAGAGATACAAGGAATCTTGTTAAGAATTCAGGTCCCCAGGAGGGATGATTAGGTGCAACACGGGGCATTTTTAAGGCAGTGGAACTGAACTTGTATGATACTGTAAGCGTGTATGCTTGATACTGCGCATTTGACAAAGCTCGTAAGAGTCCAGTACGGAGTAAACTCTGGACTCTAGTTAATAACAGTGCGTCAATGTTGCTTCATTAATTATAGCATGTATCACACAAATGCAAGACATCCACAATATGGGAAACTACACAGAGGAGAAGGGGTGTATGAGAACTCTGTACCATCTGATCAACTGTTCTGTAAACCTAATACTGCTTTAAAAACAAAGCCTACTAATTCAAAAAAAGAAAAAGCAGATTCCCCAGGCCCCAACCTGGAATATTCTGATTCAGTGGGTACTAGATGAGCCCAGGGAATCTATTTTTCTTTCTATTCATTTACCCTTGGCTGTGACGGGTCCTCATCTCTGCTTGGGCTCTTCTCTGGCTGTAGCGAGTGGGGCCGCTCGTCAGCGCGGTGCGTGGGCTTCTCCCGCTGTGGAGCGCAGGCTCCCAGTTCTGGAGCTCAGGCTCCGCCGCGGTGCTGCTCAGCCTTGGTGGCCCCTTGGCATGTGGGATCTTCCCAGATCAGGAGCCGAACCCGTGTGTCCTGCGTTGGAAGGCGGATTCTTTACCACTGGCACCACCAGGGAAGCCACATACACGTGGATTCCTTTTCAGATTCTTTTCCACTAAAGGTTATTAAGGATATTGTTCCCTGTGCTACCCAGCAGGTCCTTGTTGTTTATCTACAGTAGTCTGTATCAGTTCATCTCAACCTCCTAATGTATCCCTCCCACACTGAAGGAATCTGTGTTTTTAGCCAGTGCCCTCTTCACTGCTGGGTGATTACCTACAGCTGAGTCCTCTGGGAGCCCCGGCAGCCTGGGGGAGCCCCGCAGCCTGGGGGAGCCCCGCAGCCTGGGGGAGCCCCGGCAGCCTGGGGGAGCCCTGCAGCCCTGCCCCCCCAGGGGTCTCCTCCTGAAGGCCCTCGCCCCGGCCTACCCAGGGGTCCCTGTGACGCAGCCTCCTCTCTCCCTACAGCGCGGCCCCTGCGGGCGCCCAGACCTTCAGCCTGAAGCACTCGGAGCGCGTGCGGGTGGAGGTGGTGTGCGACGGGCAGGCCGAGGAGGTGGCCACCAATGGCAAGCAGCGCTGGCCCCTGTCGCCCAGCACCACGCTGCGGCTCACCATGAGCCAGGCAAGCCCCGAAGCCAGCAGCGACAAGGTACCGTGGGAGGGGGGTGCTCCTGCTCGGGCCTGGGGGCCGGGGGCCACGCGGCTGTCCAGACAGCCGGGTCCGCGTGGCCAGGGGGAGCCGAGCATGAGCCACACACATCGGTTTCCGTTTTCTCACAACCACGTTAAAAGAGCAGAAGGAGGGACCTCCCCAGCGGTCCAGTGGGTAGGACTCCACACGGTCTCTGCAGGGGCATGGGTTCGACCCCTGGTCAGGGAACTGTTAATGAGATTCCCCTTTACTGGGCGGCGTGACCAGTAAGTGAGTAAATAAAACAGCAAAAAGAAACAGACGGACTTAATTTTGGTGATATTTTTTACTTAACTCCATATATCCATATACTGTCATTTCAACGTGGTGTCAACATAAAAAACAAGACCAAGAATTTTTCCACACCGAGTCTAAATCTTCTGTGCATTCACACCTGCCTCAGTTCAAACTGGCCACTTTTTAAGTGCTCAGTAAACCCTCAGCTCTGGAGAAGGCAATGACACCCCACTCCAGTCCTCTCGCCTGGAAAATCCCATGGACGGAGGAGCCTGGTGGGCTGCAGTCCATGGGGTCCCTAGGAGTCGGACACGACTGAGCGACTTCACTTTGACTTTTCACTTTCATGCATTGAAGAAGGAAAGGGCAACCCACTCCAGTGTTCTTGCCTGGAGAATCCCAGGGGCGGGGGAGCCTGGTGGGCTGCCGTCTGTGGGGTCGCGCAGAGTCAGACACGCCTGAAGCGACGCAGCAGCAGACCCTCAGCTCACAGCTGCAGCCACAGAAGGATGAATTCATGGCAGGTTAACATCACGGGACTCTTAGCACAGACTAAGACTACTGGAAGCGACAGCCAGGAACGTCCTTGGTCTCATCATGTATCAGACAGGATGCTGGGTGCCCACGCCCAAGAGGTAGAGCCAAGACCAGACCCTTCCTTCCCTGGGTTCTCTAATTATCAACATGAACGTCACATGTGTCCCATGTCAGTGATGGCACTGGGTGATCCAGTGAGAACAGCCTAAGCCCTATCGCTGCCGAGTGGGAGCTAGGTACACAGCCCGGCAGAAGTGGGGACCGACAGCAGAATGCGCTGGGGGGCAAGTAGCAGACGACACCCTGGATGCCCTCTGAGAGAGGGGAGCCCCCGGTCTAGTTGGATATTCTGAGAGAAACAGCCCACGAAGCCAGGAGCACTTCCTGGAGGAGAGGGTTCAGCTGGTCAGAGCGGATCGGCTTGACAGACTGTGAGGTGGTCCCTTCAGGTCTTCCTGCCTATGACCTGTGACCTCTGTTCTCTCCCTCCCCGTGTGCACCCCCCCCCGCCCCCGTCAAGGTCACCGTCAGCTACTATGAGGAGGAGGGGATCACACCCGTCGACCAGGCTGGGCTCTTCCTCACAGCCATCGGTGAGTCAGCATGGCTCCGTCCTGGGTGCCTTTGTTCCCCAGGGGCTGGCACTGCCGCCCTTCCCAGGCGCTTGGGCTGTTCTCAGTGCTGCCAGCCTGGCACTTGGAGCTTCCTCTAATAATGCAGGCCTGCGGAGCAATGCCGCCCGCGCCCAGGCCCTTCTGTCCAGGCATGGGGAGTGCTTCCGGGGGAGGCGTGCCTTGGTCCTCAAGCAACTCAGCAGACTGTCAGACTCTGTGGACCCTGGGGGAGAAACAGCCAAGGCTGCTCCTCCCCCGCCTCTGCCCTGCAGCCTGGAGAAGAGCTCACTTGCTGAGAGGAGAATGGCCTGTCTACAAAGCCTGCACTGTCCTTCCCAGTCCCAGCTACACCCCTGCCTTCCCCAGCCCCAGCCCTCAGGATGCAAAGATGCAGCCTGGGTCCTTAACCCACCTCGTCCTAGCCCTTCATTTGATTCACAAGGACATTGAGGCCCAGAGAGGCTAGGGACCTGGTTCAAAGTCACACGGCAACACAGTGCTGCTTGGGTCCAGAGCTCGGGCTCATTCCTTTGTGGGTTCTTCCCGTTTGCACCGCACCCCCCTCCCCTGGATCCCAGGGCACGTGGGATGCAAGGTTCTGGGGCTTCATTCCCTGGACTCTTCTGCAGTGAAGGTATCACTTGTGCTTTCAGTTTAGCTCCTATAATGTTCAAGCCAGGCGGCCATTTCAGTGAGTCCTTAGTTTAACATTGACAAAGTGGCCACAGGTCAGGGGAAGGTAAGCTGTCTGTTCCTGAGAGTCAGCTATGTCCTGAGGGAGTTAAAAATAACAGTGATGTGTATTTGCTGAACGCCTGCTGTGTCCAGGACTCTGGTGCAGAGGTGGCGTTTGCTGAGCACCTCCAGTGAGCCAGGCTCCAGCACCAGGGGGTTTAGCTAGCATGCGCTCAGTCTATTTTCACATCTATTCTCAGAGTACGTACTACTATAGTCCCCATTTTACAGATGAGAAAACCAAGGTCTGCCTGGGGCCACACACCAGAAAGTGGTCTACGGGACACCCAGCCGTTTGAATCACTTCATATTCCCCCTGGGGGTCTCAGAATCCCCCACAAAACAACTAGTTCCCAAGCCAGCTCCTCCTCCTCCAACCCTGTGCCTGTAGCCCCAAATAGACTCGATAGCGTTGCTCCCCCACTTCTGAGCTGATTCCCGAGCGGGCTTGATTGCTGGTCAGCTGCCCCTCTTTCCGCACTGAGGGAGTGAGTGCCGGGTCTCGGAGCGACGGTCCTCAGGGCTCCTCGGCGGGGGGGGGGGGGGGGGTGCCTCCGGAGACGAAACTGAAGCTCCCAGCGCTGCGGCCCAGGGCTGGCACGTGAGAGCCTCACAGGTACAGGGTGCCCCAGGCTGTCTCAGGTGACCGTCCTGAGGAAACCCAATCCCAAGAGGCAAGGACACTTGAGGACGCTAGCGGGAAAGGCAGCGGCCTGAAGCCTGGCAGAGGAGGGCGCTCCCAGGGGGCTGATGATGCCACTGGCAAGGATCCCACCAAACACAGAGGGCCCATGACAGCCGGCGCAGTGATGCCGTGAGGAGGCCGGCACAGGCCCGGGACTGATGGTGTAGTAATACTGTGAGGAGGCCGGCGCGGGCCCGGGACTGATGGTGTAGTAATACTGTGAGGAGGCCGGCGCGGGCCCGGGACTGATGGTGTAGTAATACCATGAGGAGGCCGGCGCAGGCCCGGGACTGATGGTGTAGTAACAGTGTGAGGAGGCCGGCAGAGGCCCGGGACTGATGGTGTAGTAACAGTGTGAGGAGGCCGGCAGAGGCCCGGGACTGATGGTGTAGTAACACTGTGAGGAGGCCGGCACAGGCCCACGACTGATGGTGTAGTAACAGTGTGAGGAGGCCGGCGCGGGCCCGGGACTGATGGTGTAGTAACAGTGTGAGGAGGCCGGCGCAGGCCGGGGACTGATGGTGTAGTAACACTGTGAGGAGGCCGGCACGGGCCCAGGACTGATGGTGTAGTAACACTGTGAGGAGGCCGGCGCGGGCCCGGGACTGATGGTGTAGTAACACTGTGAGGAGGCCGGCGCGGGCCCAGGACTGATGGTGTAGTAACAGTGTGAGGAGGCCGGCACAGGCCCAGGACTGATGGTGTAGTAACACTGTGAGGAGGCCGGCACAGGCCCACGACTGATGGTGTAGTAACAGTGTGAGGAGGCCGGCGCGGGCCCGGGACTGATGGTGTAGTAACAGTGTGAGGAGGCCGGCGCAGGCCGGGGACTGATGGTGTAGTAACACTGTGAGTAGGCCGGCACAGGCCCAGGACTGATGGTGTAGTAACACTGTGAGGAGGCCGGGGCAGGCCCGGGACTGATGGTGTAGTAACAGTGTGAGGAGGCCGGCACAGGCTCGGGACTGATGGTGTAGTAACACTGTGAGGAGGCCGGCACGGGCCCGGGACTGATGGTGTAGTAACACTGTGAGGAGGCCGGTGCAGGCCCGGGACTGATGGTGTAGTAACACTGTGAGGAGGCCGGCACAGGCCCGGGACTCATGGTGTAGTAACACTGTGAGGAGGCCGGCGCAGGCCCAGGACTGATGGTGTAGTAACACTGTGAGGAGGCCGGCGCAGGCCCAGGACTGATGGTGTAGTAACAGTGTGAGGAGGCCGGCGCGGGCCCGGGACTGATGGTGTAGTAACACTGTGAGGAGGCCGGCACAGGCCCAGGACTGATGGTGTAGTAACACTGTGAGGAGGCCGGCGCAGGCCCGGGACTGATGGTGTAGTAACACTGTGAGGAGGCCGGCACAGGCCCACGACTGATGGTGTAGTAACAGTGTGAGGAGGCCGGCACAGGCCCGGGACTGATGGTGTAGTAACACTGTGAGGAGGCGAGTGCGGGCCCGGGACTGATGGTGTAGTAACACTGTGAGGAGGCCGGCGCGGGCCCGGGACTGATGGTGTAGTAACACTGTGAGGAGGCCGGCGCGGGCCCGGGACTGATGGTGTAGTAACAGTGTGAGGAGGCCGGCACAGGCCCAGGACTGATGGTGTAGTAACAGTGTGAGGAGGCCGGCGCAGGCCCGGGACTGATGGTGTAGTAACAGTGTGAGGAGGCGGGTGCGGGCCCGGGACTGATGGTGTAGTAACAGTGTGAGGAGGCTGGCATGGGCCCAGGACTGATGGTGTAGTAACAGTGTGAGGAGGCGGGTGCGGGCCCGGGACTGATGGTAGTAACACCATGAGGAGGCCGGCAGAGGCCCGAGACTGATGGTGTAGTAACAGTGTGAGGAGGCCGGCACGGGCCCGGGACTGATGGTGTAGTAACACTGTGAGGAGGCGGGTGCGGGCCCGGGACTGATGGTGTAGTAACAGTGTGAGGAGGCCGGCACAGGCCCAGGACTGATGGTGTAGTAACAGTGTGAGGAGGCCGGCGCGGGCCGGGACTGATGGTGTAGTAACACTGTGAGGAGGCCGGCACAGGCCCGGGACTGATGGTGTAGTAACAGTGTGAGGAGGCCGGCGCAGGCCCAGGACTGATGGTGTAGTAACAGTGTGAGGAGGCCGGCGCGGGCCGGGACTGATGGTGTAGTAACACTGTGAGGAGGCCGGCACAGGCCCGGGACTGATGGTGTAGTAACACTGTGAGGAGGCGGGTGCGGGCCCAGGACTGATGGTGTAGTAACAGTGTGAGGAGGCCGGCGCGGCCCGGGACTGATGGTGTAGTAACACTGTGACGAGGCCGGCACAGGCCCGGGACTGATGGTGTAGTAACAGTGTGAGGAGGCCGGCGCAGGCCCAGGACTGATGGTGTAGTAACAGTGTGAGGAGGCCGGCGCGGGCCGGGACTGATGGTGTAGTAACACTGTGAGGAGGCCGGCGCGGGCCGGGACTGATGGTGTAGTAACAGTGTGAGGAGGCCGGCGCGGGCCCGGGACTGATGGTGTAGTAACACTGTGAGGAGGCCGGCGCGGGCCCGGGACTGATGGTGTAGTAACACTGTGAGGAGGCGGGTGCGGGCCCAGGACTGATGGTGTAGTAACACTGTGAGGAGGCCGGCGCGGGCCCGGGACTGATGGTGTAGTAACAGTGTGAGGAGGCCGGCGCGGGCCCGGGACTGATGGTGTAGTAACAGTGTGAGGAGGCCGGCACGGGCCCAGGACTGATGGTGTAGTAACACTGTGAGGAGGCCGGCGCGGGCCCGGGACTGATGGTGTAGTAACACTGTGAGGAGGCCGGCGCAGGCCCAGGACTGATGGTGTAGTAACAGTGTGAGGAGGCCGGCGCGGGCCGGGACTGATGGTGTAGTAACACTGTGAGGAGGCCGGCGCAGGCCCGGGACTGATGGTGTAGTAACACTGTGAGGAGGCGGGCGCAGGCCCGGGACTGATGGTGTAGTAACACTGTGAGGAGGCGGGTGCAGGCCCAGGACTGATGGTGTAGTAACACTGTGAGGAGGCCGGCGCGGGCCCAGGACTGATGGTGTAGTAACACTGTGAGGAGGCGGGCGCAGGCCCGGGACTGATGGTGTAGTAACACTGTGAGGAGGCCGGCACAGGCCCGGGACTGATGGTGTAGTAACACTGTGAGGAAGCCGGCACAGGCCCGGGACTGATGGTGTAGTAACACTGTGAGGAGGCCGGTGCAGGCCCGGGACTGATGGTAGTAACACCATGAGGAGGCCGGCACAGGCCCGGGACTGATGGTGTAGTAATACTGTGAGGAGGCCGGCGCGGGCCCGGGACTGATGGTGTAGTAATACTGTGAGGAGGCCGGCGCGGGCCCGGGACTGATGGTGTAGTAATACCATGAGGAGGCCGGCGCAGGCCCGGGACTGATGGTGTAGTAACAGTGTGAGGAGGCCGGCGCAGGCCCGGGACTGATGGTGTAGTAACACTGTGAGGAGGCGGGTGCGGGCCCGGGACTGATGGTGTAGTAACAGTGTGAGGAGGCCGGCACAGGCCCAGGACTGATGGTGTAGTAACAGTGTGAGGAGGCCGGCGCGGGC